CGGCGGCGGCGGCGGCGGCGGCGGCGACTGTGGCTGCGACGGCGCCAGCGTGGGTCGCCACGTACACACATTCATAAAGATACAGGCTCAAGGAATACGCGACCCCCTTTGACCGAGCTTGAAATCGGTGTTGAACATCTACGCGTAAACAACAATGCTTGGAACAGCGGAATCGACGAACCGATTTAACTTAACGTCAGCAGCAGACCGAAACCTGACAACTTGTATAACGTGTCGATCCAATAATGAGATTCCGAAAAATAGAAATAATGTTATCTGTCAAACTTATTAAATGAAATAATTAAAGTCAATTTTATATTCTATCAAGTTCAATTAATGAGACATTTATCTATTAAAGTTGATATCTTTCCTTGCTTGAAAAGCGATAACGCGAAAGATGAGATCGGTAACCGAGAATACGGTAACGCTACAATTTTTTTTTATTAAGAAGTTAAATTAACCGCAGAATTTAATTAGTTTAATATTTGATTAATTTTTAAAAATATTACACATTTATTACTGATTTTAGGTGAGGACATTATCAAATTATCAATGTTACCGGAGTTTTACGATAAGAAACAACGACTATCGCTTGTAATATAAAAATATTACACCAAATCTTTCACTATCAATATTATCAGAAATTTTTAACCAGAAATTTTAAATATAAGATTGCAGAATTTTAGCATTGTTTCTCGTTTCGTTATTTCTCATGCGTAGGACAGATATCTGTCATGCAACAAGAGGGATGTTTGCTCGCGCCCTACTTTCCACCCTGCGAATAGAAAACCAGTCGAAAAACTCATGTCGATAAACTGTTACCGCCGTCGTTGATCCAAACGCGATCAATCGTACGCACGTTAACGTCAGCGCGCCCCGCTTAATCGCAACGCACTCAGATCCAATATTCATCAGCGCGTTAAACGCATCGTTCGCGATAATGCCACGCGCGTGCGTTTCATGGAAAGTTGCGTAGGCCGTAAAAAAAAAAAATAAAAGGTTAGATGGATCGCGCGTGCCGTTCAATGTTTTCTCTCGTAAATTCGTGCCTTTAGCGTCATTAACGAGACGTAGAGTCAATCGAGATAACTGTAATTGAGTGTTGTTAGCATAATACCGCAATGTTATTCAACGATAAAATCAGTAGTCAGTATTTTCAGATAATTTTACCACGGTTGAGTGATTAATTTAATAATTAATAATTCGTCGGCATGAAGCGGTAAAGTATATCGATATTCGATGCAAATTTCTTCTTAATACACCTGCATAGAATACTGAATTAATATTTTTATTATTTTTATTTTGTTATATTTTGTTATTTTTATTTTTATTATTAAATTACTTTACCAATTCTCTTTATGTGTTAATTAATTTATAAATTTTTTGTTGCTGATAGTTTAATAACAATGAAAAATTGGTTATGCCTAGAGTGTTATTGATTATTTAATCGTTTATTACACACATGCCAGTTCATAATATTTCTTTATTTCCGAACGAATTATTAATAATCTTATCGTTGAAAAGTGTTACCGATTTCATTCCGCTATCATAATAAATATCGACTCGACGCGAAACGTGCAGGCAACGAGCGTTTTAATTAGATTATGCCTGCCCTCTCCGTGATAAGTATAATCGAGATACTACTTATCGGCTACTGCTACCTAAGTCTACTCGCTCATTTACATATCTCATCTCCTCGCCCAACCACTTTTACTCTCAAGCCTTGCCGCCGGCAGCGAATCAATGTTGCATCCGATCTCAAGCCGGACTTGAGCGAAGGAATTACTTCTCGCAAGTTTTACAGACGACGAAAACAAAACTACGAAAATACGTTCTACTGTTTGCTTATCACCATTGTTATATATGCGTGCGTGTGCATTTTTATGCACCTTCACATATCTTGTTCCGATTTCGCGATGTCATCGCGACCCGCATTTTCTCTTTTGCGCGACCTCTGTCGTGTTCGAAAATAGATAATATGTTTATTTATTAACACCATAGACACGTGTACATTACTAATGAAAAGCATTATCAATATATATCGTTGTATCTACATAAATACATATAATTAAAAATTGAGATACATACATATAATTAAAAAAAAAACAAGATACGACTTATAAGCCAAATAAATGTTATAGAAGATGTACCGTTCTCGGCAAATTTTGATAGATTTTCTTTTGGTACTTGACATAAATTTTTGACAAAAATTTAATTAACTTGCCATCTTTTTTATTGTTTTATAATTTTCAATATTATATATATATATGAATATTTCATATAATTAAATAATAAATTAAAATTTAATTAAACTAAAATCCAAATTAAAATTAAATAAGGAAATTTGATTTTGTTATCAAGTTATCACGTATGTTTTGAAACTTAACTCGCTGAAAAGCAACTCAATCACTTGTAGTAACTTACGAAATATCTACATTTCAGTATTTTAGGAGAAAATTGATTTTAAATTGCATAAAGGCTTCACAAACTCGCTGAATGTGTACTATTAGAGATAAATAGCACCCCACAGCTCGAGATGCCTGTAAATTGGTCAGCACTGTTTCGATTCCGTAGACATCTCGGATGATCTAGACTACGTCGAATGTGACACAATACTCAATACAAATTTCGACGAGGGTTTATTGTGCCAGTTTTGACCACGCTTTGAAAGCGTCGATATCCTACCGAGTATATCCTGTCATAGATACAAAGGGTGTTCCGGAGTAAAGGGACATCTTCTTCCCCACCCACTCAATCTTTTGTGCCTGCTATCGCAGGTACTGAGCTTTGGCACAGAAATTAATTTTCACAAAAGCGTTTCCTGCGGTTCTCAAGAACGATATGTCTCTGTCGGTTGACTTGTCGGTGAACTTAAAAAGATCCTCAGTTCTCATATAATACGCCATTGATAAAAACTAATAAATTCAAAGCTGTCAATACTTTAAATCCAATTAAAAAATGGGATTCTATAGAATTTCTTTGGAAATTTACCTTAAAAAATGATCTAAATATTTCGAGACACCCAGCGCGTATATAATCAATAATGCACGATGAGAGTGCATTGCGATGCACACGACAGCGAGCCACTTGTTCTCGATCGTCAAGCGCACGGTGACGTGATTAAAATAAACGGTCCCAGTTGCCTGAGATTTCATCCGCGCTCGAAATAATCGTCGACGAGAATTCCTTGTCGCGAGTAAAAAGAAGAAAATAGTGTCACAGGAAATGCTATAATTAAAAAAGTGAACGCTTTCCGAGCGTGCGAGCTTATGAATGTTTTTCGCATGAGGCTTATGAGCGCAAAGCGTTATGAATCGTTGCAACTTACACATTAACACGAAACTCACACAACGTCAGCGGCACGTGCACATGTGCACATCCGTTCGTGTGTATTATTATTCGCGATTTTATATTGATTTAAGCACACATGGGTAAATACGAATTCGCGCAGCCCTGCGGCACGTGGGCCGCTTATACGCGTGTTTGTTACGCGGATTGATACGCGCCGCAGCACACGCGTGAAACAAGAAAGACAAATGTTGGATGGTTAAATTCGTGGAAAATATCAAAGCCAGACTGGACTTTCCAAAAACGCATATATATGTAATGTACACGTATATATAATATACTCTACGTGAAACTAGAGCTAGAATTTCAAAAATAACGGCGCAGATACCGTTATAAAAATAATATATTTTTTTAATTACATGTGGGAACTACATTCTCAATTTTTATAATTAAATTTGCACAGAATTCTAACTTAGTAAGCTTCACTTAAATATAAATGGATAATAAAAGCTTAGTTTTATTTTGTAATCTAGTAATTTGGAATCAGCGAGCGTGCGATTTGAAAAATTTGCAAACTTTTAATGAGTAAAAATATAAATATTAATTGTAAGTAAGAATTTAAATCAGTAAATATTTGCTACCTCAGCAACATGATAAGCAATTTAAATGTTATTTTGAGCGTCGTAGAAAGACGTAAGATCGACGCGGTATGTCGTCAGAAAAGTTCATTTGCGTTAAATATTTACAATGCAGTTTCAATATCACAATGATTTCTCGAACGATTCATTCTTTTTTCCTTATTAAGAGAATACTTTATTAAGAAAATAAAATCTAATTTTGCAGAATAATTTTATTCAAGTAATTTTTCTCCTACCATGAATTTTACACTCAGCCTATCAAAATTATTAACAGCTGAAATTCAAGTGTACTTGAGAACACGATACTTTGAAGGTTCGATATCGATGTTGTGAGTTAAACATGCTGGTAAAGGTCAAGACATAAGGTTAACGAGAGAGAAAGATAAAGAAAGATAGAATTCTTTCACCACGCGATCCTTATTTCACGCGTATTATTAGTGTTCGTTCATTCGTCCATTGACAATTAAGAGACACTCGCGTGACCAATGTTTAAGTAAAAAGAAAAAAAGTACAGCAATCATAAGCCTTATCCAGACAAACGTGCGTCATCAAAGCAATTTTTAAAAACCATATTATATCATAGAAAAATTATAATATAAGGAAAACATAGAAATATTAAGTATTATTTAAAGTATAATTAAAAAATACATAATATACATATAGTCTCTTCATTATCATTAAAAAAAATGCATTTTTTATGGTAAATTACTTACCGTATCGTTGATCTGCTGTCGCCCAGTGCTTCCTAGACCTCCTGCTCCTCTCAGTAGTCCTTCACACACACACGCACAAGCACTCACACTGACTCACACGCGTTCGCGGCGCACGCTTTGCTCGCGCGCGTGCCCGAGTACGAAAATCGCGCGACTCACTTTTAAACGGCACTCCCGACGTCGCAAGCGAATCGAACCGAATTGTCCAAAATGCGACCTTACGCGCGAATTTCCGTTCGCGTTTCAGACGACCGCACTTATCAATTGGGCCACGATTGTCTCAAAACAAAGGGCATAAGCTCGAAGAAGAAAAGGCCCAGATCGGGATCCCAAGATAAAAACCGATCCTTCCCTCCCGCCGAACCAAGCCCAAAGTTCGAGAAAAAATCGTGTCCCAAATATTTGACGTAGCATGCGACAGAAATGCGTTCATCTATAGATTCGCTGTTCGACGTTTCGTACTCGCGAAACTATTACGACATTCCCGGCATTAACGGCACTCCCGACGCGCATTTTGTTATATTACGACGCAACGAATATATTTCGTAGCACCGATTACGCGCACAAAGTTTATCTGTAAAATATAAATACATTTACATTACAACGATATCCGAAACAATACTATAGTTATATAAGTTATACATATATTCCTCGTTCATAATTATAGTAAACATAATTTAAAAACTTGCTTTAACGACGCGCAACATATGCAAACGAATTGTCGGTCTTGAGCGGATCTTAAAAAGAAAAAAAAAAGGAACAGAGAAAGAGGAAAGCGATTTGACACGTAGAGCGTGCACAAAAGGATGTTACAACAAACAAATTACAAATTCAGCACGTACAGGCATTGTGTTTACGCAAAGCCGCCCAACGCTGATCGACCAGACTCTGATAAAGCAAGCGGCCATATGTACCGCGCAACGCGCGAAGAGAGGAGGCGGCGGTGGCGGAAGAAACGAAGAAGCGCATGCTGTGCGAGTGGGACAGACACAAGCTTCTCGCAATCAGACCGGCTGGCCGCGAGCAAACGACCAGAACTCAGTACACCGAGTCACGCTCGCTCTCACGACCATCTGGCTAGCGCCATCGCCTCCTCTTCTCTCGTCTGGGCAATCTTCTCTGATTCCTCTCTGCGAGACAACGTCGAGTACATGCGTTTGCATCGCGCGCTTTCTCTTATCGCGCGGCTCGCGAGGGTACAAGGGATCCGATATCGTAAGAAATGTATGAATAAATCCGGTGCCGAGGGTGTGTATGTGTGTGGTCAAATATGTTGCGTCATTTTTGAATGAAGTATTATAGATAGAAGATTATACGCAGTTTATCTTGAAAATATGCGATGTAAAAATCATTTTCTCAATTCACACGGAATGTAAGGATTCATAATTGCACTTCTCGTACAACATACAATTAAAAAGGTTATAAGGAATTATTAAATATGTCGGAGATCGATTTTTGATTGAATCTGCAATTCAGATCGCTATAACTGCAAATTGATTGTTGCTTCAATCTCAAAACAGTGACAGTTTATTGCGACAGCGAAATATATTTAACAGGAATAGATTGTTTAGCTAAAGCAACAAATCAAATTTAACTTGAGTGGCAAATTCCATGACCAAGTTTTGCTATGATATCAAATAATTACTTATAAGAGCAAAGTTTAGTTACGTCCATGCAAATTACTTCGCTATAATGACAAATTGATTATTACTTTACTGCAAGAGGAATAATAAGTTTATTGCAATAGCGGAATGAATTTCATAGGATTATTTAGCTACAGCAGCAAATTAAAATTTGCCTCAGCAGCAAATTCTACGAAGTCTTGTCGTAATATTGAATAATTGATTGTGGCGGTGAAGTTTGATCGCCTTGACGTCGAATATGCAGAAGCAGCGACGATTCTGCCCCGACAGCAAAATTCCATTTCTCAGGAATTTCTCAGGGAGATCGAAACCGCGAAAGTATTAATGCCACCTCATTATCTGGATCGAAACGGTCAACAACGGGCGAACGAGCGGGTCGATTTATTTATGTCGAACGAAGAAACTGGCGGCTGGTACCCTCGTCTCGGAAGCAGTCGCGCGCGATGGTATATTGGCAGCGCGATAAATGCCGCGCGCTCTCCGGAGGATCGAGACAGGAAACGGCGCATCCACGGCGGCGTCGCGTCGGCGAGATTTATCGGCGAGTCTTGTTTTTTCCTTTTTTTTTTCTTTTATTTCCTTCTCTCTTTTCTTCTCTCTACCCGCCACTTGCTTCGCGGAAAGCCTCCGGCGGAAATGCGACGCGCCGCCACACGAGAGTGGAATATAATAGCGCGAGGGATAGTAGCTCTCCCATCGTTGTCGTTACGCCACCTTCGCGCACGGCTCTCTTTCGGAGATTGTCGAAACTTCATATCTAACTTGCTTTAAAGCAAATGCGTTACTTGGAAAAATTTCGAAAGTTTATTTCGAAATATTGAATCTCGATCTTTGAATTTTAATATTTTCGGACAATTCTTGTTATAACTGAATCTAATCAAATGTTATTGAAAAAAAATAATTTTGCGTTTGAAACAATCCGTATATATATATATATATATATATATATTGACAACAATTTGATTTATAATTTGTGATATTTCTCAAGTTTAATAACTATTGATAAAGAAGTTTTTAATTAAATTGATTAATTCGCAATATTATCTGATAGACGTAGATAGATAAGAAATGTCTAGAAGATAATCAAGTAAAATCAGATACATTAGTTAGTTAGTGTTTTTTTAATATTTATCATAATTGTCAAAGTATTTGCTCAGCCTGGATACGAATTTTTGTATCGTGATGTCATAGAATTCTATCGCCTGCACAATCACGCAGTGACTTCATTTTTCACCTTTGTCAAACTTTTTACCGGCCAGATGTTTCTTTTAAAAACAAATGAAAACCGCTCGGAGCGAGATCTGGGCTGTGAGCGGGATGGTCTAAAATTTCTCAGTTGAAACTCTGCAAACAGATGCTTGCTCCGAGCGATTCCTTACGCAGGCAACGGAATTTTATAACGTCGAAAAAACTCGTATTCGAACCAAACAAATGTCTCTTCGCAACTGTGATGATTATATGAAAAAATTACTAGAGGCATGTATCAAAAGTATTTTTCCACTCGATATTTAAATATATATTTTAATTACGTTTTCAACATTACCTTTTTGTTATTGCGTATTATCGTCTATTTCATTTAAAGCAAAAAAAAATATGCGAGACATCTATTATAATTTTACTCCTGCCTTCTCTCTCGAGTATTTATATTTTCTATCAATTACATCTTATTATAATTCAAGCCCCTAACATCTTATTGCGGCCGGTGCGCACTGACGCCGGCTATTTTCGCGGTGCAAGCGCGACGAACAACGTGAGCAAAAGACCCGGCGAATCGCCTCTCGCCTCACAAGGAGAAGCTGAAGAGAATAATCAGACAGTTAATTCGGCCGGCGCACACTTTCGCGCCCACGCGCGCGGTCTTAAATCAACGCTCGACTCTCGCATAATTCTCCTAATAATGCCGGCGAAGGCGACGTACGGTAAACGCGCCCACGATCGCGGCGGCAACTGTGAAACGCGTTAACACGCATCGAAACGGTAATCGCGCGAAGCGGAGACCGCTCGTTAGGCAATCGTTAAGTACGCGGTATCGAGAGTCATTAGGCATTCGTATCGGCGAGGTGATCTAAGTCACTGCCTCGCCGATCGTATGAACTTTCGTATTACGTCGCCATTACGGCGCGTAACAGGTGATTATTAGCGGCCCACGACGTCGCTCGGCGCCGGATGCAATTGATGTCGGATAATTACGCGAACTAGTCAACATCGGTACTTTATAATTCCGCAAAAGGCGGCCGGCACTAACGGACGAACGTTCGTGTGGTGCGGACAGCGCGATGACGGAAACCACTCGGTGAGTGATCTATGATCGGGCGACCTTATTTTCCTCATTTAGCTGAAGCCATTTCGTTCCGGCTTATCGGCTTATGAGAAAAAAGGTAGCGTCTCAATTTGATTGCAGTATCGCAAGATGCATTTTAATGCATCTCAATATCCGTCCAAGATGCATTCTCCGCGACGCATTTTAATGATCGCTACTCCGGATTACCAACGTGACACTCTTAGTATGAATATCACAATCTTTTGTGAGCGGGTTAAAAAGATATAAAAGCTAATAATTTTTTGCCCACACTGTGATTTGCATCTTTAACGTACAAATAGAGATAAGCTGAATATGAACATCAATATTATTATTGCACACATCGATATTGTGAAATGCGCGTAGCGAACACACATCAATCATCCGCGCATACTATTCTCTCTCTTTTCCTCGAGCCTTTCGTAATTCAAACCATAGATCATGCTGACGGATTCTTCTTGTGTGCTGTGCTGTCGCACAAAAGAAAAAGTGTATTGTTTTCTACATGATATAACTCGAATCATTATCACTTTATCTTCCAAAATCATTACGCGCCTGATCAAGCTTCGGCCCCATGCGTTTGCAGACTATATATTTCTTGCTTGCATATTCTATATTTAACCACTTAGGTTCTATACAAAGCTCTTGAAAGCTGTTGGAAGTTTTCCGACACGTCCCATGTGTTTTCGTCTTCGTCTTCCCTTCAATCTTCCACGTGGGAGGTGCCCTTAATGTTCCTCTCTCAATCGAAAAAAGAAAAACAAAATTTCCACTTTATTTTCACTTTTTTTATTGTTGTGAATATTTAGATTTCAAATATTTTAATTTTAATTAGTATTTGTGCTAAAAACTCCAAACTTATTAAAATTTATTCTAATAGAAAAAGAATTTGTTCTCTTTCGACTAAAAAAAAGAAGAAAACTAAACAATATCTCGAATGGAATTTCTCAAAGTATTTAGGAGATTGACATTATTCTTCATAAAAGAGGAATAATACACGTGTAATTAAGAAACTCAATCAACAAAACCGAGAAAATAATACGCCCGTACGTAACGAAGATTTCGGAAGGCAAACACAACTGCGCTAAAGACGCAACATCAAATAAAAATCCTTTTTCCACGAAGAATGCCACCATGAAGCATCACGTGAAAGACTTGCATACCCGGCGTGACGGAAGGATGGCGGAAGGTCGGCGTACACAAGCCGCCGTTACGCTCTCTCGCGCGAGAGTTTGCACAGATGTGCCCGACGTGTTTGAACAAATGTGGACGAGACGGCATAGGTACATCCCGAGATATTCGCGAGTATGTTGCGAAACGGCACGTGTTCGACTCCACGTGGGCGCGTTGAGTTGAAACGTTATTACGGCCGTAAATGGGCTTATTTTGTTCGCTAGATCATGACGCGCGCTTCTCAGCGGGGCATCGTTATTTAATCTTTCGTTGAATTCAGGTTGACCTTCTGCGATCAAAATTGTTCTACATGACTTAATGGCGTATTATCCAAACCTCGGACTGTCTAATTTAATTTCACGAAAAGGTCACGCATTTCCTTCATTCATTCATTGTCAGTCGCTTCATTTGGTTACTCAAACTGCGAATATTCTAGTGCATCTTTTTGTTCGCACGGATTTATTTTTAAATAAATATTATTAAAATCTTGTGTTTTAACTCAAATTTTGTAACGTACACCTCTCGTTAATATTACTTAATACATTCCCGAAACGTATACAAATATTTTAATTTCAATTTCGTGACGATGCTCGTATAACTTTCGTTCACATTGTTCATAAAATTCTATTTTCAAGTTTTGCGAGAATGAGACAACTTCCCTTTCATTCAGTCATTCATTGTAGGCTGAATACACGACGACAAAGACGACACGGTCTCAATCGAAGCCGATGTAAGCCGTATCAATTGCGCACGGCGAGTCGCGAACCCATTCGCGCGACCTCCTTCATCCGCGGCGGCTCCGTTTCTTTCGTCCGGGCAATATTTATGAATCAACCGATGATCGAGCATGTCGAGCACGCGGCGCCTGCTGATGACCCCTAATAACCTTCTCTCAGTATCGTCGCCATAATTTTCTTTCTACGCGCTCGTGATCTTTCGCTTTTACGCGTGCACTCGCGCGTGATAAGAAAATGATCTGACTGTGAACATTTTTTCGTGTAGCAATATGTAAGTTTAACGGTACATCCGTACTTTAATTGTCGTTAATACGACGCAATATCGTCTCTTTGAAAGTTATTGTATTCTTCACTATCTCAATATCGTGTTCAATGTAACAACAAGAAAAAATTTCAATGATAAATCGCAGAGGCACTTAATATCGATATCGGTGCAAATAGACCTGGTAGGATTGCAAGGAAAAGACTCTACTCTTTCGTTCGTTAAACAATAATAACGATCGTTGCTGGTGACGGCGGCGACGGCAGATGGCCGCTATCGAAAGTACGGCCTTGTTATCGGCATGATAACGCCTCTAAACCAACACGCGACGGGCACGGACGACCAGGTGCCCGGGAACGTTATCTTACGCGAGCAGTTCCGCCTCACTTGCTCACTTTATTATAATTCGTTCTCCTTCCAGCTCGATTCATTTGGCGACAAAGCGCGGCGCAAGACCGCAGATGTTGTCTAGCTATATTTAACAAACGCGATGTTCCACTCGGTATAATAGACATTTTTTTTCTCTAAAAATAGAAATTTGCTCCGCCAAATTTAACGTTGATGCGCGAATTGTCACGTCACGTCGGAAAATCACGCTGTTAATCATACGTGAACCGAAATGGCGCAGAAAACCCTACCTATGTTTGGCTCCGATCAGCGGCCGTTTACCGCGCCCGAGGGAACTTCGAGCCTTTCCGGAGGGCCTTTCGGTTTGGACAGCTTCCAAGATACGCGAATTCTGCAAAAAGCGTCTTCGGGAAAGCGTCACATCGAGGTCAACGTGATCGCCAACCAGAAAGGAAAGACGATCCGGTCCGTCGCCGTCCGCGTTACGATCGCGATGACTCCTCTCTCGGAAAGGCAATAAAAGGAGAGCAACGAACAGACGAGGTTGGCGCCAGCGCCATGTGGCGGCCGTGCTTTGCTTCCCGTCTTGCTTCTTGAGAAGACAGGAGAAAAAGAAAAAGGAAAGAGAGAGAGAAAAAGGGAAAATGCATTTATTAACACTGCAGAATCGAAAAGCAGTGTTATTTAATCCTTAGATTTCTAAACTGAAAGATTTTGAAAAATCTATTTAAGTTTTTCTTCCCATATTTCTTCGATTATTTCACGCTTTGAACGAATACAATTTGTACCGTTTTATGTTATATTCTTGGTCGCAAGTTATTTTGCTGTTATTTTACTTAAAATTAGCATTATAATAATGAAAGAATCGAGGGAAAAAAGTAATAAAAGTAACGCTTGCCGACTCGTGGATTCCGAGTGAGTACACCGCCAGACGCTTCTTAAGGACGTTAACTGATTCCGATTCAGTAATCTCATTCTGGAGAGGAAGCTGATAGTGAGACGAAGAAAGAGAACGCGAGAACGAGATAAAGTGAGAAGAGGGCATAAGAAGTGAGACGGGAGAGTCGGCGGCCGGCGCCGGCGATCCGCGATCGAGAAATCCGATGCATCTGCGACGCGTAGGTCACGCTCATTGCCAATCGCGGACTCGGATAAATTATTACACGGCCGATCGATGATTGTCGAATGAAACCACACGATCGATCGTTCGCTACCAGCATTCCCGCGCGGGAATTTACGTAATCGCCGAGGGAATGTCAAAGTTTAAGATCGTAGGTCGCGCGCAATTTCGCGGCATTTATATATGTTCCGCAAACGGGAAATGCACGAAAGGTCGCGATCTCCGCTCTAAAATGCCGGATAAAATTACGTATCGCCGTATTTACACACGCGTTTATTACACAAACAAGACATTACGTCAGATGAGTTGTTTGATAATTCGCGTATTGTATGTTCTGCGATTCTTGACTCGCGTATATTGCCTTGCGAAATATTTTTGTTGCTCTAATTCTACGGAGATTGCCTGAAATCGAAATGTATATATTATCATTCAGTGCCAGAATGAAGTAAGAGCCTTGGTAAATCAAACATTTCTATAAAAAAAACTGTACATACGATAAGATAAAAAGTAACGAAAATGTATAAAATTTTGATTAAAGTGTATTAAAGAATTAATTAGCGAAGAAGGAGATAGTTCGCACAAGTGAACGCGATGATGAGCGTTTTCGCCGGTGATACTAAAATCAGCGAAATTACTCTTCGTCTTGGAATCCGAGTCGGCTCGAGTTGGAGAAGCGGAAAGAAGCGCGAGGGCGGCCTGAGTATATTATAATCCTCTCTCTCTCTCTAGACGGTCCCTGTGTGCGCGCCAGATGGTACCAGCTGGATGACGCATCAAAGCAGAAAACCTCCCGTGTGTCCGAAGCGCGGTTCCGCCCACGGAATCGCGAAGAGAACACGTGTGCCGTCGCGCCGTCCGTCAACGTTGCCCGTTCGCGCGAATGCAATCTCGCAACGCGAGAATTCGGTAGAACTTCATAACGCGCGTCTACGTTTGCCCCGAAATAATATTTACTTACACTATTTATCGTCCACGCGTATCGTGGGCGTTGACGCCGCGTTAAATTTCAATGACAAATTTTCCGACTTACTCGAACGTTTCTCGTTCGAGTACGATACTCATTAAAGCGAAGTGATTAAAATTAATTTTGAAGTAATTAATCACTATTGTTTACGTTGTCTTCTTTTTATCAATATTTTGGTGCTTATAATACAAAATAGTCATAACTGACGTGTGCATTTTCTTATTCTGTTTACAGCCGGTATTATGGCGGGTTCCGAGAGAGATAGCGTCTCTTGCAGCGGTGCCGACGAAGACAGTAGATCGGGTCTGCACTCGCCCACTGCTTCAGAGGACAGCGTGGACGTGCAAGTGACGCCGATTTCGTTGCGGAACAAACGGAAACTGGCGGAACCGCGCAAAATTCAAGAACCGGTTGTTATCGCGACACCCCTGAAGAAGAGACGAATCAGTCCGATCTCCGAGGAGACTAACGTTGATCAAGAGGAGGCTAGATCACGTACGCCGAATCACTTTAGACCTTGGATTCCCGTCTCCAGTAAAAATGAGTGTAAAACGACGACGACGACGTCGACGGTGACAACGGCGGCGACGGCGGCGACGGCGGCGACGGTCTCCAGCACGATAACGACGACGTCAACGACACCGTCGACGAAGACGTCATCCGTTAGCGAAAGTGCGGAAGAGGAGAAGGGAGTGGAAGAGGAGAACGAGGCAATGCAAAGGTTGCACGAGTCTGTCAGACGATTGCAACAATCTTCCAATCATGATCGATCGGCCTTTTCATCGCGACGGGAGCCTCGTCACAAGTCCTTGGAGCCGGCGGCACCAACAGCAGCAGCATCCACGCCGAACGTGATCTCCCTGCCGCATCCTAGGCTGCAAGACGAGCCACTGTCCTTGGTGGTGAGGGACGAAGTTCCCAGAGTGCCGTCACACCCCGGCGTGAGCGGCACCTACGAAAAGACGCCGTCGTACATGATGGAGCATCTTTTAGCCTCGTCGTCCAGTCGCAATCATCAGAGTCACCAGAGTCATCAAGGCCATCCGACGGTGGTTCCCGCATCGTCCGGAAGACACCATCATCAAGGTGGCCAACAGAGAAACTACAAGAACATGACGAGGGAGAGACGGATAGAAGCGAATGCGCGAGAGAGGACCAGAGTGCACACCATCAGCGCGGCTTTCGACACGCTGAGACGCGCCATACCCGCTTACTCGCACAACCAGAAGCTGTCGAAGCTATCGGTACTAAGGATCGCTTGTAGCTACATCATGACGCTCAGCAAGGTCCTCGAGAAAGACGACGAGATGGCGACTACAAGAAACAACGACCTGGCGGGTCTAGGTAGTTGCGTGGAGTTGGTCTCCAGAACCATTCAGACGGAAGGCAAGCTGAGGAAGCGGAAGGATGAGTGAAATAAATTCTGTTTCCATCTGAACAACGTGGCCAACCGCGACGACGACGACGACGACGAGACAACGGAGATAACGTCTCACACATTGTCAAACGCTTATTCGCCTTCTGTTCTCGATGACGTTTATTCGCGCGGAAGAGAAGGACGATCTAGAGTTAATTAAGTCATTAAGTTAAATAATCTACCATCACCGGCTTGTAAAAGTACTTTACGCGAGAGTGTCTCGATTAATTCGTCAAGTACCGATCAAGAATGTGTTAATTAAAGCGTCCATAAATTATATTGTGAAGGATTTTCAGGAGAGGAGGATAGAAATTCGTTTAAATGATGAATTTTGTTTGTATAAAACATCATGGAATAAATAAATTGTCGTTGTATATAAATTGTATAATACGCTCTTCGGAATCGTCATAAACAAACTTTAGATTTTAATGGATACTCTCTAAAGAGAGAATTTTTCTGGCGGCACCCGTGATGGAGGCCACCTACCTAAGTTTCGATAGCAGCTGCGCGCAACCAGACAATAAATCTTTAGAAAGATCTTCATATTTAGACGGCGCTTAGTTTACGACGAGCACCGCATCGCGGAAATTACGATGTAGAACGGCAAACATTCACACAAGATCTGACATTTCGTGGTAGAAGCTAGTCTCGATGCCACTTTAACCCTTTCGAAATAATACTGTTTTATTTATTTCGCTTAATACAACTTGCTAATATATCTTGCAAGGTATATTTTTCTTTTTTTTTTTAATAAATTTAATTTGTATTTAATTTAAAATTAAATTTTAAATTAAATTTCAAGTTAAATTTCATTTAAGTTTGTTCAAGTTCAAATATAATCAATAAAATTGAAATTATTTTTGCACGATTTTTCTAATTTATTATTGTTAATTTTTTGCAAAATCTACATTTATATTATAGAAAAAAAACTTTTATAAGATTTAAAATAATTTTCTTGATTGTTTAAAATTTAAAATCAAGGATTAAATGTGTGAATGCGTGTTTTTTTGTCAAGTTTTCAGCATTAGTTCGTCCGAGTGAGTTTGCGTGTTTCGCCTAGAGCGGCAATTTCCGAACTGCGATCCATTGAGTTGCATACTTGAACGAAAAGATAAAAGGATCAGTCAGTTGCCTGCAATCTGTTGGACCGACTTACAGCTTGAAATGCCAATCTAGGATACGCGCGAAAGCGAAAAGGAACGAAACAAAAGCGAAGACAATAATGATTCTTATGATGTATTTAATTAAACAGTCAAAATATACGCAAATTGTGTGGCGTAACAACTAAGCGATCCGTCTCTATCGTCTTCCTACGGAAAATGTATAATAGTCAGGTCTTCACAGTAAAGGAAATAATCGTTATTACAATGGGGTCGGATCTACTATATGAGTATACCTAATTTTTGAGGGAAATTTTACTTTACCAGCAACCGCTTTTTTTTTTTTTTAATTTTTAAACTTATCGGCGGAAAGGCATTCACCTTTTCGTCGATCAACAAAGACAAGCTGAAGTTTCAGTAATTTGTTTTTTAAAAGATAACTAGCTTTAACGCTAAATATTATATTGGTGACTATAATATTAAAGAAATCTCTCTCTCTTTGAATCGCGGTTTTATATTAAACATTTAAAATTCCATGATATGTATATTCGACCCTATCAGTAAAAATATTGTGTTGAATTATCGACAAAAGGATTGTGCGATTTGTTCGAATATTGCGAGAGAAAGATGTTATATCTGACCCTAAAAAAAAAACTAAATCTAGTGATCAGAAAAATGTCGGCGTGTGTTCACGCAGTTTCGTCGATTACGTATTGAATTCTGTAAATAGTAGATGTAATGACGTTATGACTAAATGATTTATACCAATACGAGGTATAGTAATCGAACCTGTCATGCAAGAGAGTAAATTTGTGCGCTGGCCTTACGTGGCGATCTGATGCGATATCCGATATGTACCTTTCTATGCTATAAGACAACTTCGAGCAAAGTTCAAATGAAAGTGAAACTCAACAACGAAAATTGTGTCTTTTTGTTCGTCAAAACCCTCCACATTTATTCTCTGCCTATCCTTTCGATCGCAACCTACTTCTTAACTCCGTTTTTCTAAAATTAATGTTATTCTCATGCGAAGAAATGAGAAAAAAATTAAAATCTGTAAATTTTTAAGTTATATCGTTTGAGCGTTATTTCTCATAACATTTTTATTTGTTATCTTAAATTATGAATTTAAGGAAAAAAATTATCTTTGCCGAGTATTACAGTCGATTAAGGTTGAAGCTCGGCTCATTTAATGTCAAATGTGTGACGAGACACGACATATCGTCTCACGAACGCGACGTTAAGCATAAATATAATGAATTTAAAACCGATTGCTCGGTCACGCGTACATATGTAACCAGTTGCAGCCAGATTTTGCAGTGTTTGCCTAAGCGCCCGACGAAATCGCGGTTGTTATCGCGAAGTAAAAGTGAATCTATAACAGCGATACGTAAAACCATATATGCGCGTACATGGGATGTATTCAGGTGTAACGACACCGAACACAACATCGGCGCGAGACGGGGATGTTCCTCTCCGAGCCAGCGCGCACATCTGGCCAACAGATAACGATATCAACCAACAATCCAATTGTGTTGCCTGTCGCTGCACACGAACGGAATATTCGACACATACATTACGTCCCGTTTATCTGTCTGTGACAATTATGGTATTTTTGAAATTGTAAAACTGCTAATATTTCTTTTTTTATCAACCTCGAATATTTTTCCATATTTATTTAATTTTTTAGAATATATATTTAGCAAAATTCTTGGAAAATCCGACGATATGATATAATTCGAAATAGAGTTTGATGGCAACAGTTTTCGCCATTCCATAATAATAGCTTTCTAGTTTTACTCAATCATCAATTTTCTAATTTTACAGTCATCGATATCGGTACGATCGGATTGTTAACAAATCGGTGCATAGCTCGTTCAAGCTGTATCCGGCTTGGCAGCTGTTTAGCATAAGGGCAAATTGCTTAAGAAATAATAATTCTACCGCGCTGCCGCCGACTTGCCGTCTTGCGATCCGCGCCTCCTTTCTTCCATTATCCTGAGATACGGCAGGTGGCGATGACGTTCTCGCCGGCTACCTGTTCGAACGCGCGGTTTTACTCGCCGCACCAGCATCACATACCCGCTCACGCATGTAACACGTACGCGTATACACACTCGTCTCGCGGGAATCGCCACAAATGCACGTGTAATTCGGGGAGGGTTGGATGTGGAGATTGCGGGGAAAGACAGGGACGGGAGGAAGTTCATATACGAAAAGGGTACATGTGCAACAAGATACGTTGCATGATAAAAAAAAGGAGCAAATAGCTATGTGAATGAATATTCAGATAATTTAAAAATTTCAGCGACGTAATTCCCTCTCGAGACATTCGAAGTATTTCAATTTGTAGCTCTTCGAAACGTTCTGAATACTAAAAGCGAGTAATATATTTCAAATTCTATCCCGCACATCGCTAATTTAATTTCGCAAAGATTGATTCTATTCCGATCATCCTCTACTTGTTGCAAATTGTATTCGCGATTTGATATATGCGGCAGCATTTTGTTGAATTAAGAAGAAGCAATTTAGAAATGGGGACTGCGTGAGAGATTGTACATCACGTGCTTTTCCGCGAGCAGGTGCGCCGCCACGAATGTGACTCTAACGGATCTAAGAACCTCATAATCTGACTAAAGTGGACGTAAAAACGTGCGGCATAATGCCGCACGAAATCGGTTATGGGTGTTGGATGGCGTATCTAAAGAAACGAGCGACGACAAGGAGAAAAATATTCGAAAGCCGCGCACTTAAAACAGCAGCGAGATAATCTCGGTTAATTAAGCACAAGTTATAAATGGTCTCATTATAGATGAAGATCGAAATAAATGAAGGATATAAAAACTGTCCTATTACCAATAGTAAGGGATGATAGTTCTGTCTATCGCACAAGTAGGAGAGAGAAACCGATTTAAACGTTGATCAATTTTAATCCCGAGAGATGCTATTTATGGCTTCCACTTGATTTCCATCTGCAATTAGAGCATCTCTATGCGCGATTTCACGGATGGCAGTTTCGTTGCCTGCAGATGAAGCGAAAGAATGCCGACCGGGCGAGCGAGCAGGTGTTCGGAATACATCGCGATACGGGTTCTCCTCTCCTCTCTTTCAATCTTCTCATGCTGGCGCGTCTTTACATTCCTTATCTTTCTCTCGAACATATCGTTCTCAAGCGTATCTCTTTCGCGTATCTTAAACACGCTATAAGATCGCGAACGAGCAACACGCGAATAATAGCGGAGGCTGGGGACACACATTTGAACAATTTAAATATCCGGTTTCGACATATTTATCGCATTTTACGAGAAAAATGGAACTGGCTGTCTCGTTAAATGTAATAAATGCCGAATATTATAAAAAAAAATGTTTTCTAAATTTATATGAATATTTGCAGAAATGAAAGAATTAGATAAGAGCGACAGTTTCGACGCGAAGGATAAAGATCGCAAGACGCTATTTTGCGGAAGTGCGGCAACAATAAGAATGCAACATGCGAGCTGCATGCGTGCACGCATCGCGAGACCGATTATGCGTTTGCGGCGCAAGGACACGCGAGCCGGCCGGTCCCGCGCGATCCAGCTCCACGCCTCTTATTTTCGTACGGACCCGAGAGGCGAAACAACCGTGGGTACGCACCTGCTAAGAGGCAGGCGCAGGTGCATTTACCCGCCTTCGTAAGCATTACTTAATTTTCGACGGTTACATAGCGCGAGTATAGTAATTGGCTCGGTGCGCACCCGACTCTGAAAAAGGGATAAAAGGGCACCCGCCGTGAATGGTCATGCTCGCCTTCATATCAGGCATTCCATTGCTCCCGACTCTTTTATCGTTCATAAATTTTATTCCATTTAACGATAAGTGACGCAAAAAAAAATAATACTGAGAATAGTAAGAAAACGTTCCCTTATTTCTCCTCCCTCTCTCTCTCTTTCTCTCCTTTCCTTTCCTTCCGTAATTATTAATTTAGATATATTAGATTATATCGATAGCACGTTTTTTAATAGCACGTTAAATTGAGAAAAGATAAAAATGGAAGATAATCTTGTGCAAAAAGACTAGAAAAGAAGAAAAGAGTACCGTTCGTAATATTTCAGATGTGGTTTGATTCGACATAGCCTCTGCGAGATTCTTTAGTGTTCGTTCGGCGTACTCTTGGCGTATCGGCTGGATCAATTTCACGACCGAACATTTCGTTACGGAAGGTTGCCCCATTTAGTCCAGAAACGGAACGCATTGCGGAATTTGTACACTTGTTTATCGCGCACACTAGCGTATCTCACAATTGCGCATTTTGATTTTGTTTTATCCCAAATGCATCGCAGTATCGTATTTGTATTATTCAAGAAATCTTTTTCAACCGTATAAGATTATTTTGTCCTTAAAAAAAGTATATTTTCGCAAGAATTTGAGATCTAATTTTAGGCTTTAGGGAATTTATTTATTATAGTTATTTCGCAATAAACTCATATTGTATTTTAATATATACGCGTAACACATATATATATACATTGTAGATTTTCAATGCATATATCCATCAAAATAAAAAACATGTAAAACATGTAAAACATTCTTTTTCGCGTTCCGCTCTAAGTAATTTTTCTTCACGATTCCCATTTTAATCTGAACAAGGCACGCATCGTCTTTTTTTCCC